AAAACTTTGGCTTTAGAAAGCAAACAAAGCTCTTGTTTTCCGTCCCTGATTCATTCTGGGTGTCCAGGACGCTAAAACATCTCATTTCAAATGAAAAAATCCAAAAAATTCCAAGTGAAAAAAGTCGATATTTTCGGTATCGGTATATACCGAAGTTCGGTATTTTCGGTATCGGTATTTCGGTATGAATACCGATACCGGTGCATACCTAATACTGAGTAAATTGTCGAAATATACCTGAATAGTCATTTTGAATTACTTTTTCTATACCTGTATTAACCATGCAAACAATAATTATGCATATCTAATTGTTCTCCTTCGAGAGTTCTGAGTTCGTAAATGTTCTCAATCGAGATCACATCCAAGAACAGCATACAACGAACAAGAAGAAAAGTGAAGAAACAAACATAACAAAAAGAAACGAAAATATTTAGACAGACAGACAGACATAATGTACATTTAAAAGATCCGATTGCAAAATTCGACATATCACTCGAAGCAACTCATTCTATTGCTTGATAGTGCGAGGAAGACAAGAAGAGCTAACGGCTTTTCTTTAAAATTAGGAACAGCCCACAGACAGCCGTTAGATCTTCTTACAGACCCTAGCAATTAAAGGTGACAGTAATTTAAGCCTTAATAAAGCACTGCAACTAATAAATATTTTGTGAAAGAAAGACAGTGGAAAATATTTTCTTCTAACTGTCAGATTAGATTGATGTAAATTATTAGTAAGAACAGTGCCACTTGTTATCAAGTCACTGTCGAGTAAATCAATGACTGGCAAGATGCAGGTTATATATATGCGACACCAGATAAAAACTGATATACCTTTAAATGTTCGACTTATGACACGAAGCATTTGTCTACATCTCAGGGAAACATTTTCAATATGAAACTATTGCGATAAGTTGGGTGACGGATAAGCACCAACCGTAGTAAAACTTCTTGTATCCAAGCTCTTGGGTTAAGAAATGTCACAAGATCTTGGAAAAAACATCAAGAAGTCAAGATCTTCGATTCTTGAATCTTTCGCTCAAGATCATGAAACATCTTGGATTACTTCACTCAAGATCTTGGGCACAGAAATTTCAAGATCTTGAGTGAATCCATTCAAGATGTTCAGGAGCTTGAGTGAAAAATCTTCTTTACATTTTGTTTTTATTTATGATAGTCGCAGCCATTGGATATAAGACCGCATAGAGTCGTAGATTCTTCCTTAAACAATTATGGTCAAGGAAAAAAATTCGAAATTATACTAAGTGTGAAAATATTCTCGGTTATACTTACACAAGAGTGTAAAACAAAACGATGGTTCAAGAATGTTCAAGATCTTGGTACAGGAAGTCAAGAAATTACAAGATGTTCAAGATCTTGACTTCTTGAAATTTCTTGAATTCTTTTATTTTCTTACCAAAATCTTGAATCAAGATCTTACTGAAAATATTCAAGAAGTCAAGATCTTGGCTACAAGAAGTTCCACTAGAGAAGGCATTTAATATTTTTCACGCAAGCAATATTTTTACGTCAAAGCAGTAATGGTGGAAATGTATCACAGATAGATGAGTTAGAAAATGTCATTTAACTGCATTTATCTATTTTAACTCAGTATCATTAGAAATGCGTCAAGAGATCTTTATGTCTAAGAGCTCCTGAACGTTTGAGAAATCTTGAAGCTTATTTACCGGAATAAGCGTAATGACTTCATCTACGAAGAGTGATGATATTATAAAAGATAGAAAATCTGTTTGGATATCATTAATAAAAACGGAAAATAAGAAAGAATCGAGAATGCTCTCCTGTCGCAGGTGAACCCTCAGTTTAATGGACGATTATATCTATCTGTTAGAGTCTTTTCATTATAGTGCATCGCTACATTCTAAAAAATCACATGTCTCCCACTATGTGTCTACCTTGAAATATGTCCTACAGGTGTCCACAATAAAAGAAAGATACTACAAAAGAAAGTTACTTGCAAAAAAATCAAAACAGTTTTTCTTTCTGTTTTGGAGAATCTCACATCTTAGAATATGAGTCTGCTTTAGATAAGTTCGATGATGCTATTAGGATTCGCCCATAAGCTGATTTTTATCATGTATAAGCTCTCACTGTCAGACAATGTTCTGAACGCCATGAGAATTTATATTGTGAAAATTTCTTGGGCTAATTATTGAAGGTACTGAGTTCTCAAGTCTGAAATAAGAATCGGAATGGATAAGAATGATCGTCTTATGCAGGTCCGGTGGTGCAACGATTTAATACATAGTGAGTTCGAATCTCTCTTTGACCGATATTTCCTATTTATCTTGAGTCCTACTGCAAGACACTTCAATACATCTTGCAAGTAGGCCACATTTAAGTGCCTACCACGTACGGCACATCTAGTGGCTTCCAGTAAGACGTGTTAATACGATCTTTTCTGATCCGACTTATGTGTCTTACTAAAAGACACATTACTTTTTAGAGTACAAGATCATTGTCTGCTCACACATTTTAACGAAAATAAATGAACAGTTTTTAAGTTACCCTATTAATTTTAGAACGTTTAGGATTCATGATGACAACTTGACAGCGACCACACAAATATGAAGTAAACCACTGAAGTAGATTATTATAAACACCCGCTTTAGAAGGTTTTGATATAACAGTATTTGGTGATTTACTCGGTCAAATGTTGTAGAAAACTCGAACGCTAGTCCGATGGCATTCCCTTGGTATTCCAAATTTTTGGTTAGCTCGATAGTAATGTAGAGTAAAGTATCAGTGGTTGAAGCGTTAGTTTGATTCGTTTCACGTCAGTGAGATAATAGATAGAAATCAAACAAATCCAAAAAACTCTCCTAGATTATTTGAAGATGTCGTGAGGATTTTTTTCTTTCGTCTAAACTTTACATATCAATCGGTAGTCTTTTCCCTGGAAATAACTGTAGCCTTCAAATTCTATAGTTCTATTTCAAGGTCTGACAGAAATGAAAAAATCTTGACTTGCCCTGTTTTTCTGCCTCTGGCTTTTTCGCTTCTTCTTGTTCATTTTCTTGCAACGATGACATGAGTAGTGCAATTAAATTGTTTGGTTTTGAACTTTGTTCTTTCATTGACGAATGTTCATTTTCTTGAGCAATAATATTGTCACATGTTTGACGTAGCGTTCTCACCGCCTGTTGATACTCTGAATTCCAGTTGAGCCACCATCGAAGTATGACTTCTGGAACAAATACATATTCAATAATTTTTCGATGAAATTTGAAAAAAGTATCGAGAGCTTTTGCTAGATCTTTCTTATCTCGTTTGCCATGTTCAATCATTTGTAAATCATAATCGAATGCAATAAACGCAAATATATCGAGTAACAGATGTTTCGATTCACTTACAATATTTTCATTTAATGTTTTGTCCTGCTGTCGCCAATATTGAATTAATCGATCCGTACAATCAATAATAGAGTTTAGATGACAGGCAACTTTGGCTTTTTTGAACATAGGTAACATAATACGTGCATGACGTTTATATTCAGCCCCACGCAGTGAAATCAATCCCGATGGTACTTGAAGACCGAATATACGTTTACCAAAGTCAGATGTTTCATAGATCTGTCTATTACTGTAAATGTGTTGAATAATATCGAGACGACTGACCATGTAGAAACGAAATGGTCCTATCCAATAGTGACAAAAATCACCGTACAACGATTTCCATTTAGCATAAACGTCGACGCGGGCTTCACCGCGATTCATCCCGGCTTGAATTTCATTACCGAAGAGAAAATGAGGTGCTAAACCGGGTACATCGTGTGACAATGAAAAATATTTTTGTTTTAAATAGTAATAGATAATAAACACAATGGAACATGTCAAGAGAAACGTGACTAAAACCATGACGGCTACTTGCAGTATTTTTCTCTTTCTTCATACATTTATGTATGCATATATACAACGGTAGATAACGATTTTGCTTTTACCTCTTATGAAGAAATGAAAAGAAGAAAAGGAAAAATGCCGGTTTTTTATTACGAACATACGAATAAACTATATTTTCTCTGTACTTTCGTAAGTACGTTTGGACGAAGAACGGATAAAACCTGAATATCATTTAACAAAAAGTGTTTCAGCTGATGAAATTTATTGATTATGAGACATTTAGCGAGGTCGTACTTTTGAAAATTTGGTTAAAAAAATAAGTAAATTACTCAAAATGTATTTTTTTACCAAACATTTTCATATACAAAGGATCACTAAAGAAAGATATTATTGATCACCAAATTGTGATCAACACCCTGAAGATTATTTATTCCTCAATTAACACAAAAATATGTACAATATGAAGAAAAACAGCATATTAATAAATGATAAGCTTCCATCTGGTCTAATAAACAACATCTCGACTCGGATTTTACAACTATAATGCAGATTAAGGGTACCCCTCCCATCTTTTTGGGCTTTCCGAAATACTGTGAAATGAAAACTAAAACTCACTAAGGCTTCATGTTTTTAGAACTGATCGGAAACTCAATGGGGATGGGGAGCTTTTTCGTTTTTATTTCAAGTTTTTAACTGTTGCTGTTCACCAGTTCTCCAAAAAACTAGCTTTTTCATTGGACAACATTATGATCCGCCTTAAATTTCATCCCATCGAGTTAAAAATTTTATTAGAGGTACTCAAGGTCATAGCGCAGAGGTAGATTTTTTGAAATTTTTTTAAGATCTTTCCTGATTGAGTTATAGGAAACATACTGGAAAACGTCTCAAAAACCAAGTTTTTCAATTTCAGAAACTGTATAACTCGATAAAGAAAGATCTAAAAGACAATTCCAATTGCGAAAAAGAAAGTTGGATAAGTAAAGGATGATTTCCAAGAAAATCGATTCCACTCTCGCTCTTCAGCTCTATTCATGGAGAAGAAACCATCAAACCACCAAAACCAGAACCGGCACCAACCAGTCGGTTGGAAAGCTCAACTCAACCAACTGGTTGAGGGTATAAGGGTGATTTTTTTAGGCAGATTTTTAAGACACCCATGAGATTTCTCTTTTTTCGTGTGTGTTATCTATCAACCATTATTCTGAATTCTGCATGTTTGTCCGTCTGCCACTTATGGCGTTTGTGATTTCTACCTTTTTTGTTCTCTCCTCAACCATGTAGTTTAGTTGAGTTGCGGTTGATTACT